CAACATCCTCGTCAACAGCCACGTCAAAAGAAGCTTCAAAATTGCCAGTGACAACATCATCGTCACGTTCAACTTCAACTCAAGGTCCTGAGTCCGGCATTATCTACGTGACATGATGATTGTACAGTCATGTACTTAGTACCCATCATCAACGCAACAGACAGTGTCATCAATGGAAGTGTCTTCAGCATCATCATCAACATCAACCTCTTCAAGAATGGCAAGAACTTGAAGAAGTTATTACTAATATTAGTTCAATGACTTACTGGTCGATTTCATTATCACGTACACGTAACCATGGTAACTCCAAATCATGTACTGGCTACATGTGTGAGTCTTCTGTTGCTAACCATCTTGTTCAGAATGGTGGTTGTCGCTCTAGTGATGATTTTCCGTGTGGTCTCGCTCTCGTAGTGAAAGATATTTGCGTGTACAATCATATTGCCCGATTGGAGTCTATCTGCATCTTTACCACCAAACTGGTCTTGTGCAGGCAGAAAATGGCAGGTTCAAAATGCATTTATTTGTTTACACTGAAATTGTTTGTGGACTTAGATCAGTAGTTCTGAGTTCTTTTTGATTGCATGGGTACAGTACTTTCTGGTTGTGTTATTATCTCACTTTTTGTCACCTGATATTGTTGATTGGTATAATTATTTTTTTCAGCTATCATTGCTCGCACTATATTGTCTAAGGGGCCGTCCGCAAATATCGAACTTTTTTCACCAAACGAATTATTTTAGTTTAGACCCAACCCCTCCCTCCCTCCCCCTCAGAACGTAAAAATTGTTGACATATACTGTACATGCATATACAACAAAAGTCGCAAGTGTGTCACTGCTCCTATGGCCATGTACATGTATCGAACTTTTCTGAAACGAAATTGGTCAACCCCCTCCCACCCCATAACGAAATTATTTCGTTTCGTGAAAAAAGTTCGATAATTGTGGACGACCCCTAAGTTAGTTACTACTTGCAGTCTTGCACTGACTGTGCTTATTTATACGGAGTTATTGTACATGTATTGACTTTGATTTGCCAGTAATCATGGTAATCCTTCTGATGAGATGGCCTCGAAAACGTTCAAGGAATATGAAAACAAGATTTGCTAATATGCCATTTTATTTATGGTGTTTGTGAGTGCGCAGCTCGCTTTATTTATTGCGCTAAATATTATAATAAAAATGAATATTCAGGATTACCCAGGCCAAACGCCAAAATAATTCAAGAAACAGTAACATTATCATAATGAGTCAGGCCTGCAGGCTTCATTCAAGATCAACCGGATCGGATCGCGGACTGCGGCATATGCTCGTCTACTTTCTTTTCACTGGTCGTTCTCCCCGGCCAAAGAACATCCTGCATCGTGCCTTCTTACAGCTGAGGAAAAGATGATGCGAGCTACGACGGGCATAGCGCTTGCGGTGCTCGTGGTGGTAGGCGCTGCATCGACTACGCAGGCCAACAACGACTTGGACGGGCTGTGGAAATTTCTACAGGAGAAGCTGGGCTTTGCACCTCCAGATTTCAGTCCCATGCCAGAGCCGCCCGAAGTCGCACAGCTACTTGAAGACGGCTACAGCCACGAGCAGTTGCTTTTCCATCACTCATTCACCAAGATCGTGGAAGCGTCCAGCGGCAGCTCCTTCGAACACCAGGTAGTTGTGACTTATCCGACGAATCGTCTCATCAACTGGCGAGTGCTGCGAGATGCCCTACTGCTGGGCCGAGGCCAGCTGCAGCAGCTCAGGTCTGGTTCGCTGAAGGATGGCGACCCGCTGTTGCAGCTGCAGGACAAGGTCATGGGCTACTTCGACTTCATACCGCGCGAGCTGGCCGCGATTCCGGCCAAGCCTGGCGCAGCGGTCACGTTTGCCAGCCCGTGCTATCGACAGTACACGGCGGAGTTCAAGGAGGTGGACGAGACCGGCGGCACGCTGATGGTGACGGTGAACCACACG